CAAATCTTTTTTAGAAGAACGTAGCCAAATCGTTCGCTTTGGATCTTGCTACTCTAAACCTGTGAATGTAACCAGTGGGGTTATACAAGGAAGTGTGGTTGGTCCATTACTCTTTCTCCTTTTTATCAATGATGTGTGTTCCCTCTTTCAGTATGGTAAGCCTTTTCTTTTTGCTGATGACCTGAAAGTAGTTTATTCATTCTCTTCTCCCATGAAAGAAAGCTATATTTCAGCGGTAATCCAAGAGGAAATAAACAAGTTGTACGAATGGACTATTTCGTGGAATATGCCACTTAATGTTGACAAAAGTGGATTTATTCACATTGGTCGCTGTCTTAACTTAAATCTGACTGTACAGACACATACACTCAAACCTCTTAACACTGTTCGTGACCTGGGTTTAAGATATAGCAACAGTCTGAACTTTTCTGAACACATTATATCTCAAGTATCCAAAGCTAGAAAGCTCATCGGATTGATAATGATAAACTTCAATAATATCGAATCGAGATTGTTACTATACAGAAAATGTATCTTACCCATTCTTGAATATGGTATTTTAGTTTACAGTAATTGTAGACATACTGACCTGATTAGAATTGAAGGTGTTCAAAGAAGGTTCACTAAAGCTGTTCTGGGTATTCCGATAACAAAGACTATTACCAAAGATGTCAACAACTCAACTTAGAGCCTCTTTGGATCAGACGTATCAAATTAAATCTTGTCTTTATCTACCGGCTTATTAACGGTATTTCCTACTCTTCGGTATCCACCCCTTCATACCTTATGATATCATCCCACAATCTACGCAATAAGGAGAATATTCTAGCGATTCCAAGAACCCACACAAACTTACGTCAGAATTTTTTCCTTATTCGCTACTCAACCATGTGGAACAGACTGCCAGTGAACCTCCGTTGCAGTGAAACTACAACCCGGTTCAAAAGTCTCCTTGACGATTTTCTTTCCGAAAGTGGATTATGTCACCTATTGAATATCAATGTATTCAATAATGATTTATACAAACAAGGTCCGTCATCCATTTAATTGCTTGAAAAGCAAAATAAAACCTTTAAATCTTTCCACATCTATTTTATTTTATTTCTATTTATCTTAATATATGAAATCTGATTATGTTCGTGTTTATCATTATTTCCGTTATTAATATCATTATTAGTTCCCTGACACATTAGATATTCTTTTTGTATCTTCTTATCCTTCTAAACATATTTAACTCCAGATTGTCCTTTAAAATCAATTTTGACTTTCATAGCATCAATCTTAATTATTATTGCACAAATATTTATACTAATATCCGGTTTCACTCTGTATACTATTACATAAATCTAAATGTATTCATCCGAGTGCTTTAACGGATTTTTATTTTATTTTTCAATTGCTGGTTTCCTTCTGAGGTTGATATTCATTACACAATTATTATTCTTATCATGGATCAAAACTTTTCACTAGGTGTTCACTTCTTTTCTCTCTTCTTTCCCTCTAAATAAATATTATTCTTAAGATTACGAAGTTTGTAATTAAAACAATAACTTGTGTTACACTTAAATTAAATTCTCAGACCCGTTTTATCTTCACTATGCATATATGACTCATACATATTGATATTTAATTATCCTTTTCATTTAATTGTAACTTCCATAGCATCACTCTAAACTACAACTGCACAACTATTTATTCTAGTGTCATATCTTACTGCAATTATAAGTTATTTTTTCTTAATTATTTTTGTTACTAATTTGACGATACACACATAGACGTTTATTCTTGTTCTCTGTTCGTAAACACGCCTATTAGACTGTTTGCGTATTTCACGTCTCCTTTATTTCTATTCCCTTGTTTTCTCCATTTCCTTCTTTAAACTCAATTCAATATTCTTCTCAATTGCACAGACCCGATTTATTATTATTAATATTATACTATTATTGCTCTAAATTTTTTTTGATGGCGAGTATAATGCTGACATTATTGAAAATTGTGTATTATTGCATTTTTTGAAGAAACCCGAAATAGTTTCTTCACAACACTTATGTACCCATAAGATGTTTGTGAATGATAATAATAATAAGAGTTCCTTGAAGTGTTCTACCCACCTGTTTCGTTGTTCTACAATGTTGGTGATTACCTCGCCTTCCTTGCTTTTCACTGGTCGTTCTGGTTTACAGTGATTTCTGGAGAGTTTCTTTGTTATTTCATGGAATGGCACGTAGGTGCTTTGCCAATAATGTGTTGTTATTGTAAGAGTATGTATTGAACATATCACGGTAGAACTCTGCTGCGCTTGAGAATACACCAATAACAGTTTTCAGTTGATTGATCTCCAACAAAGTATCAATTGATGGGTCATGGTGCTTTGCATATGTCTAAAATGAAAATATCTAAATGTGAAACCGAGATAAACAGAAGGAAAAACAACAAAAAAGCAGTTAAAGGACTCGGAAACTATCTATAGGAAGTTCCACCTAATAATCCTAGTCTATTCAATTTTAGACAAGTGATACAAAACTAGAGGTGACAAGTGTTTTTTAGGATAGAGGAAAACACTATGAGGTGAAGTTTATTGTTCATCTTCCTGGATAGTAGCAGCAGTTTCTGTTCAATGTTTAATGTATTCGACTAATTAACAACAGAATGTTTCCGTGGTGTTTCAGTGAACTAACGATTCCTTTTTACTTGCTGAATGCTTGATTTCGAATTTCAAATACAGTACATTCGTTCGTGCTTATCAAGTCCTTCTTGATCCAATTGTGTTATTTCTGGGATTCCTAGTTTGTACTATAATTCAAATACTCTTAAGTATCATAGTTTCACACGCTTGTAAGTCGGTATACCACCGATTTCTTTGATAAAATTAATATCTAAAAGGCTAGATTACTGAATAAATGGATAGGATTATCATGCGTGACAGTACGTGTGAGGTTTTCAGTTTGTTCTGTTTTTAGATGACAGTGATCAGTTTATGACCTGTGTTGATTATTCGCATCTAGGAGTTCATGAACGAAAACTGAACTCTTGTTCCCTGCCACAACCGTCAAATAGCCCATATGCATCTCCGTTGCACATGGTCCCTAATAAGGACAGCAACGAATGACGCCCAACTGGTGACTATCGGCGATTGAATGCGAAAACTATTCCCGATCGTTACACATTGCCCCACTTTCACGACTTGACAGCTACCTTGAAAGGTACAGCTGTCTTTTCGAAGATAGACTTGGTTGAAGACTATAACCATTCCAAAACCCACAATCATAACTCTTTTCGGTCTCTACGAATTTCCGCGAATGCCTATCGGCTTACGAAATGTTGCTCAGACATTTCAAAGGTTCATAGATGACGTTTTACGAGGTCTCAACATCGTACATGCGTATGTTGATGACTGCCTGATTGAGTGTCCAGACGGAGAATCTCATCTCCAGCATCTGGACCTTGTCGTCAGACGAATATAAAGTCACGACATTCGGAAATGTTTAATCCACACTAACTCCCTATATTTACTCGGACACACTAGTGATGCTCAAGTCGTCTGACTTCTAAAATCAAAGTTGCAGCCCTTCTGGATTACCCAGAACCGATCACAATAAGCAACTAACCATATTCAATGGCCTGGTAATCTTTTACAGACGGTTCCTACCAAATCGCGCGTCCCATACCAGAAATTTAGCAGCTCAACTTCATGTAAATAAGAAAATCATCAATCCGGACGACATCACGAAGAAAGCATACTCCACAAATAGGGAAATTGCCTCCAAAGCAACCTCACTTGCACACGAGGAAACTCAAGCACCCCTAAGTATCGCAGTAGACGCATCTGACTCGGGAATTTGGGGAATCGTACATCAATGGGTAAACAACATCTGGCAGCCTTTGGGACTCTTGGTTGCTAGTCTCCGAATATTGGTTTAGCACTTTCGTTAGGGAACTCCTAGCCATGTGTTTGCTGCATGACACTTTCCACACCTTGTGGAGTGTCGAAAATTCACTCGTTTCACTGATCACAAACCCTTGTCTTCTCTTCAAGGTCATTTTCGGACAAGTATTCCTCTCGACAGTCTCTGCGACTGGACTGTATTTCACAGTTAACTTCAGATGTACAACACATTTTTAAGGCAAACAATGTAGCTGGAGACGGTTTGTCTCATTAAACTTCCTTGAAGTTTCCAAAGAATCGTAGGGGAGTGAGCACATTCTGTGTAAGCTGCCAGAAACCCAAGGTAGTTAGACGCAACAACTGTCCTTCAGGTTCTCTCGAAACTAGGAAATATGTTTAGAAGACTGTTGGCACACTGAAAACCGTTTGATTTAGGCTGCTTATTAGTTGCAAGAGATGCGTAACACGACGTACTAACACATTGAAGATGTCACAAGTACTCGGAGTTTGACAACATCTTAACCGGTAGCACCTTATATAATCGAAACGTGCCAGCCCGGTTGAGCCAGACGTCAGAAGCCAAAAGTTTCGTATATATATTTCATAGAAGATCGATATATCGAGAAGTGACTAACCTAGGCTTGTTAGCGGTTGTGGGAGAGGTGATGAACGGCGCACTCACTAGTGATCTGATATTAATGCATGACCGAGCACCTTCAGCAGGTGAGCCCATTAAAAGTAGTGCGGTCAGCACCAACTGTCGTAGAACTTTATTTATCGCTACAGAATTATCTGGTGTGGATGCGTCACCGAGTGACTAGAGCAAGGGTATGTCCAGGTAAGTAAATTTGGTTCAGAATCAATGTCCAAAACTCACGGGCCTATTTGTTTCAAGGAATCATCCATCACCACAAGCCATAGTCTATACTATCCCGTCCGCGGCCATTTGAACAATGAAACTAATATTGTTGATTACAACCTAAAAATAAGTCACTCTTTGATGAAACAAATGCGAATTCAGTAAAAGCCGTCATTCGTTGCAAAAAGTATAGGTCTCTGAGATGAATTCTTACTCTTATTTTATTTTCCTATTTCTTCTGTTGTTCGTTTTATCGCACTAACTGTAAAGCAAAGTCAGACCGGCAGCTTTTCAAATAGTTTTTGCATTATTGTTATGATTAAGAAAGGGTACTATAACCGTACGTTCATTTGTTCAACATGAATAAAATCCTTAACAGCAGCTTTCTATGCTGATGAGAACATTCTATAATTAAAGTTTTCGCAAAACACGGCATATTATTTCTTCAGTTTGTCATAAGTGTAAATTTCCAAATATTTAGCATAGTAAGTTTAAATTCCCAGAAAATATCCTCGTTCGCCCACTATTTAAACATATCTCATAACATTTTTGTCTTTGAAGTGAAAATAACAGAGATTCAACAGAGTGCACCTTCGTATTCCTTCATAATTTTTGCAGGTTTTAAATTGGTAATTGCCGTCTATATTTTCTAAAAATTTTCTTTGAGAGATTATTATACTCTTTTGAGTCATTTGCTAGCATATCGTGGGTTATTTTCATCCGTATCGACGTTTCGTTGCAATATATCATGTCTGATTCTTCTAAAGATAAATTTCTATCATGTGAAATATTGCTTATCCTATAAAACGTGATGCTTATACATAGTCATCGAAAAAAAAGTAAATGTAGCTGAATTAAGTGTGGTTTATTTACCCCTTCTTTCATTTGAGATTGTTGATTAGGAAGTTTTCTATCATGGTTCAGCATAACCCCAAGTACGTCTCCAGTAACTTGGTAAGCCGAGTATATCTTCTGGTCTATTTACCATTTTTTCCGCTATAACTGCCCTGAAAATATTACGGTAGGAGAGATTCAACATATGTATATATATATATTATATGTCACTATGAAGAAATGCAAGTAACTATTCTGGTAAAATAACCAGCCAAAATATTGGCTTATTATGGTCATTCCATATTGTGTTACTGTAAATTGACTGTATCTCTATTTTTGACCCAATCTGAATAAAATACATAGAATGTAGTATTTCAGGGTAATTCTGGATGAGATTTATACTCTGCGAATGAATCACGGATATTGAATTGGAAAATTAAATTTTTGTCGTGTATTTGCAGCCCTTCATCCAATAAGTGTTCACAATTAACTCCACATATTTAATCCACCTATTTATCTGTTTTAATAAGTGGATGTAGTTTATTTTGTTTCCTCTGTATTGTAGTAACTCAACTCATCAGAAATGGGCAGAAAAATAAAAGTTATGTTTCTAAAAAAGTAATTGGAGAGCCAGAAAGTTTGAATAAATGCTCTATTCAACGTTAAGTTTCGAGTCATTTTAAAGAGAAACAAAAATGTATAGCACAGTTTTCTCAATTGTTTGACTTTTTAAGCATTAGTGTCTGGTCGATATAACAGTTTTTATAGCGGAAGACCAACACTCACTGGACTATGGTTTGAATCCTCCATCAGACAACGCAAGACTGTGTGCTTCAATGTAAGAAGGACATTGTTGGTCTTGGTGCATTCACTTATGTAAACCTCACTCAGTATCCAGTCACTGAAGATTACGTCACTTGATAAAATTAAGTTAGGAAGTGATCTTCAGTTGTTCTTGTAAACTAATCTAGTAAATGCCACTCGTTTATGAAAGCCCATAGTTTCTGCCATCGATTTCATGCATATATTAGCTGAAGTATATAAGGGTGAATTTTGATTTATGCATATTGTTTGTCTGGATCTTCCCATTGATTGGTTGCACCACTGTGCAAGACAGTTACTATATAAACTCGGAAGCTTAGTGGACAATGTGGAATTTGAAGCCAACGGTACCGCGTTCGAGTTTCGGAGTAAACATCATCGCTGGGGTATAGGTTCACCAATTTAATGAGCATCGTGGATTTTAGTGCTGGCCATCACCCGTCTCTGTTTAAAACGAGTGTGACTTAAAAGAAATATCGAGGGAACACAAACAGAGTGCACAGACGCTTAAAAAGACTGATCAATTCAAGCCCTAAACATCAGTGTGACGATCCAAACAACCAATATACATGAACGTTATGTGTAATCAGATTATTTGTAATTTGTCCTAGTTAATGAATACTGTACAACATCAACCTATGCACTATCTGTAAAGTATACACTTCCTGACTGCAGCAAGATAATGACATGACGCCAAATGTTTTCTGGATCAGGTTATGGATAGTTTTGTTGCATCATTACTCTTTGAGTTATAATCTTCCTACTAATATCTTTGAAATGAGTCAGGGTATTTTTTGTACGGCATCATGAATATTACATATCATATAAACTACGCCCTATAAATCCCAGTTATTATATTTTAAAAGTCGTTTTACAATTTGTATTATTTCATATTACATAAATAAACTCTGTGTTCCTATGAATATAGGTTCCAAATCTGTTTGTTCGGCTCCTGTAGAAGAACAGGGTGGTAATAACGAAAGAAAAAATTCCACGATAGCAAAATGTGCCAGTAAAAAGTCTGTAAAATTCCCTGGGGAATTCAATCCTGTTACGTGTGTGATAGACCCAGTTGATCCTTGGTTAAATAGTATGTCAGTTAGCCTTATAAATTTTGGTTGAAGGACAGTGCTTATCACCTGCTGAGTTAATCGGTGTTTATAAACTTCAATGTAATCTCTCTTCGATCCAACCTTTGTATAGTGTCATTTCACAGTTACAAGTAAGTAGTTGGAGAAAATCACTTGTTTGTAGTCTATAGATTTGAGGCAGTCTCTAGAACGGAAACACGATTTTAATCTTAAGGGTAAGAGATTATGTTATTGATTACTATTTTAGGTTGTCAACTTAATGGTGGACATATTGATATGTTGGAATATGTTTTCAAATACGTCCAATTCCAATACTTAAATTTGGAAAACACCAATCTTGATGACGAAGTAAGGATTCTACTGGTGTTTTGATATAGCCAAATTTCATCACTCAGATTCACCACCAGAAATTTGATTGTAAAAAGACAGTATAGAAAGCATGTATATGTGAATAATATAATACAAGGAAATAGAATACAAAGTAATCATTTATTTAGGACGAAATCGAATCATTTTTTAGGTGATGTCAGGACTATTATTCTTGTGGGCTATTTTTGTTTTGGTTAAGACAGCCTGAGTAATGTTATAAGTAATCCCATGTTATAAACTCTGATATACTTAAAGTTTTTTATGGTTAGGAAAGAGAAAGTGGACTACAGAGTAATAAATACAATATTTCGAAGTCAGCTTTTATTTCACTCTATCAGTTTTTGAATTGTAAATGCTAGTTTAAGTAATATACTTCTGGTTCTCGAGCTCATATACCATATTAAATGACATTTTGTGAAATGGAAATAAATGAAGGGCCCGACGAGATAAACAGTATTTTACAAAATGAAGGATAAACAAAAGAAACAAGTAAGATAAAATTAGAATGAATTCTCTTAATGCATTTAGATATTGACTAAGTAGTCGCTTTTCCCCGAAACAAAAATACTGAGTAAATTGAAATCAAAGGTAGTAAAACAATGATAGATTTTTGATATCCCAATGATCATATACTCAAAGTAAAAAAATAAATTACTGAAGTAAATTAACAAACGTCTAAGTAGCATGAAGGAAAAAGAAAAAAAATATTTAGTTCAATTAAAATCAAAGTAAAAGTAGGTCTAATTATGTCGCTGTCATGTGAATTCTTGGTCGAACAGTTTCTGTATGAGACACCAGTATTTGTGTGGCTGTGAAAAACGTAAAGTTTGAATCATGAAATGGTCCGAAACATCAGTGGGAAGATTCAGCTAATCAATACATACAAATGAGTCGAAATCTGAATGTGTATGTGTGTGTTATTCGTCCAGAAAAAACGAAGATAGTTACATGTGGTTGATTTGATAGACAGTTCGAGCTGGATAAATAGTTAGGACTTCTTTTCTATTGAGGAAATTAGCATTATGTGAAACGCTTCAGCCACTCACCTTTCTTTATTGTTGGAAAGACCTTTCCGAATTATTTTGATATTCTTGATATCGGTTTGGTGGTAACTAAGTATGACATGTACTGCTAATGAGGATTTGATTTGTAGATTTTTCAGTCCTACAAAGGTTTTAGGTCTTTTTGTATAGCTTAAGTGTTCTTTGGCACGAGTCAAGATTTTATAAAAAGGCCCCTCAACATGGAACACAAGGCAATCGACAAAATCTGTGGACACAGTACTGTGTAGATGTGAACAGGATTTTTTCTTGAGTCTGAACAAAAGTATTTCGAAGAGTGGTGGTTGTTCTATAGAAAGCCTTTATTTTGTATATCGTGGTGGTTAGAAAAAACTAGGGTGCCAATACAAGATATTTCATTAGAACTGGTATTTCTAGATGAACCGTTATGTTTTAGCATATTCATAAGAATATTCACAATAAAATTATTAATTCGCAAAAAGTTTATTATGTTATCACTTCTGGAGCAATGATCTTGAAAGTTCATCTAAATAAACTCAGGGTCAGGGATAGTTTTGCGCCGGACAAGTGTGTAGAACTGAAATCGATATACCGATTCGAATGGATCAGTTCTCGGTATATAGTTGAATTAAGATTTCCATTATAATTCCTCCTGACTAGACGGTCCAAGAATGGTAGTTCACTGCGTTCATCTTCCATTTGGGAAGTAAATTTGTTGTGATTTGAAAAAGTGTTTATCATTTTAGGATAATTTTTTAAAGAAAGTCTTTTCATTGATGAAAAGTGGGGTATCTGCATAGTTGCCCAAAATACATAGCCTGATGGTACAGGAAAAATTAGGCAACCTAATATGAGATATAAGCAAATCGACAACAATGGACGTTACGTAAGATCTCACAGTCACTCTATTTGTTTGTTTAAAGTTCCTTTGGATAATAAATCCAAGCATAGTTTTAGAAATTTCATGATTAAGTTAATGCTGAAAGAAAATCTCCTATGTTTAGTATTATTATGCATCGGTAAGTCAACCAATAAAATCTAAATATCTGTCAACTGGCATACTAATATATAAAGACACAACATCATAGCTTACCACTGTCTATTTCTGTTCCATAGATAGTTCCAAAATTTTTAACCTGAAAACATATGAGTCCTAATAAATATTATGTAGGTTCTGCTAAAAGATCTCTATGAGTAACATGGGGATTTATGTTTATTTTATTTCTTGGACTCATTTTTAGTCTGTTGAATCATTATATGAAATTTTGAGCTATTATGAAACATGTACAGGATTGTGTTTGGCTCGTAACCCTAATGTTACGTCTACCGGCTGGATTCCTCTCGCTTTTTTATTTCGAGAAGTAAGTGAACATGTTGTAGTTTCGATTACTATGTTAAGCCTACACAACTTGTTCTGGCTTCTGGATAGGCCAGTTTATCTATTCTTCTTAAGTCACGTTTTGGCCTTGTTAATTATTCACTTATCAACCCTAACTTTTTACATGAGCGGATATGTGTGTAAATGTGGTGTTTGAATGAACTAATGATACCTTTGTACTTGTTGAATGCTTGATTTCGAATTCCAAATACAATACATTTGTTTGTGCTTGTGTCTCACTTCTTAATTCAATTGCGTTATTTCTGGGACTCTTAGTTCGTGCTATAATTCAAATAATTCAAAACATTATAGTAAACTTCATATTATATTCGTAACATGTCTGTAACTTATTTTGATCTGACTATAAACGCTTGATTAAATGAAGTTGGCTCGCACGCCATCTCCACTGAACGTCATTTCACTTCGCTCTCTTCTCTTCACTTCATTCCTCTGATTGTCTGTTCAAATCAATCAGTGTAAAAAATATACGCATTCAAAAATCCATTCTCGTATTGGACTAATTTAATTCCGTTATTTAGTAACGCGATTTAGGTCGATAATTGTATACGAGGATTGACGATATCTATATTTCAAATGTGGTCACCATGCAATCTAATTGATGTCAGATATCGGGACATTAAAATGTGATTTGTCAGACAGTTCGTCATTGCATTTAACAAAAGACTACTACTAAATCTCCCAGTCATTATTTCTTATTCCTGTTAAAAAATATAACATTCTGTTTATTGTTATTATTCCCCATTTACTAATTTATTCTGTTACATTAAATCGATGACAAAATCGAAAAACTGGTTGTCAGTAGATTTAGCATTGATCAACAAGTGTTCCATAAATTTTTATATCTTAGAATTTGGCGGTTTTTAATGAACAAAAAGTTAGAAGTAAAACACTCATGCTCCTAATTTACTGTAGTTTTATATTTAATCAATCTGCATCATCTTAAAACTGAATGTAGAAACCATTTTGCTGAAGTTTTCTTCTCCTGATTCTCATTGCGTTATTTCATAGAATTTTATTGTTTTTTGATTAGTTTTTATCATCTACTAGTACACTAGAATAGTTCCTTGATAATCACATATTCACAGATTTAACTTTTATGACTTCTGTCAAATTATTTATTATAAGGTATATCATGCATGTATTTAGGGGAATGAGTAATTTTTCAGCAACCGAATTATCTTCAGTACTTTTGCATAAATAAATCCTTTTAAGAAGTTTGTTAATTCATAGTCTACAAATGAAACGTAAAAACCTAGATATTTTTCATTTAATTATTAATTTATTGATTGTCTGAGCATTTCACCTATTCTTATTTTATAAAAGCATGTTTCAAAACATTTTATTTCACGTTATATCTAAGTGTCATAGCGAAAATATAAAAATGAGATTGACCATTTAGTACCAATTTGTTTTAGGTCACAGTGATTATTAAGTTAAGGCTAACCGTTAAGAAACATCATGATAGTCTCTAATTGAATTTTTTTTGGACACTGTTGGACAAATAGTCTGACCATTAAAATCTGCTTAAATTAGCTGTCACTAATACAGACTGGTAGATTCATTCCCTATCTGTCAACCTTAGTTTGATTATAAACTAAGTTCGTTGACGTAAACCTTATCTACTGATTTTATAAATCTATGTTGAAAATTCTTATATGACTCTAAAGTATTCATTTTAAAGATGCTGGATGGTTTTTACAGTGACCATACGAAAAGTTTTATTCAGATTGTATATGTAGTCACGATAATGCATGAGTTGAGGAAATTCAATATTTTCAAAACCGGTTAAATTTCAAACAGTGAATTCTGTAACTCAAAACAAATATATTTTATGAACATTTTTGAGACAAAATTTCTCATTTCAAACAAATTAATACTTACCGGTATTTAGTGTTTCATTTATTTCCTTTATTGTATTTTTTTTCATGTATTTATTAGGTGCCGTATATGGAGTGGCTTGATTTAAGAGAAAACAACTTGGGTTTAACTTTTGTACAAATATTGTCATCATATCTTCGTATACCACGAAAAGAGTTTAAACCAAAACAGTTTAAAAACGAAAGTTTTGATAAAAAGTGTAATCGTCTCTCCGAGAAATTATCTAATAAGGATACTTTCAAATTTTCTAAGAATGTATCCATTTCAGAATCAAATTTAAACTCATCAAAAACACTGCCTTTTCATTCACGTGGGTTACATTTTGGTTGTACAGGTATTAATGGGAAATTATTACATATACTGATTCCGGGAATTCGTTTGGGTTGTATCACTGATCTTCGATTACCCGATAATGGAATTACTGGATCTGATGCTAAATTTTTAGTGCCATTGTTACGTTATAGTTCTCATCTGAAATATCTAGATCTGAGTAGAAATCTACTTGGGGTAGGTTATCATGTTGAAGTTTCACTATGTTTTATGATTTTGAATGTGTTTACCTTGTTGTTTATTCTACTTTTTCATAGTTATAGTCTGACGTTCACTTATACTAATAATTACATTTATCCTAATTAGTAACAATATGTAATAATTAAATTTCTAAAAATATAAATGTTAATCAAAATGACGTAAAATTTCGATTGGTTACATCATGTACATAAATAGGAAAAAAAAGAATAACATTGAAACTCTTACATCAAACAGTTTATTTAAATGAATCCTTGTTCAATGTTATCATGCCTACTCTCAGTATATACCATCAACTGAATGACAGATTATATTTATCGATGAAGTTTTATACAAATCACAGTAGTGCTTCTTTATAACTATATATTTAAGGTTGAATAACTCATTCATTTATCTATTTACCAAATAAAAGGCTAATTACGTTCTGTTCATTTGATCATTTGTAGCATACATGGTCTGCAGGATGAATTTTAGCACAAGTCAGCGCTGTAATGAGTAAAAAGCAAAAGAAAGACAATAAGGCAGGAATCTCGAACTAAACTTCATTAAAATGTATTAAAGGTAGAAGTCTTACAAAATGGCTTCCCTAGCAATCAACAAACCTTCAAAAAATGAAATGTATCGACATTCTACGTGATTGGTTTACTTGAATTGTCAGCATATTAATTTCAAACTTGTTATATAATGCATATAGATTTTCTGAGGTATCTTTGATTCAAACAATAAAGTAAAAAGCGTCAGCCGTTCACAAATTACTTTAATAAACCGTTTCTTTATCATAATTTTCTGTAGTATTAGTCCAAAACAAGTATCTGCGGATTCTTGTTACTTAATTCAAAATTTATCTGTTGATGAACGATTGATCATAGTTTCACATACTGGTAATTATATCTTGTCAATCATTCAACCAGATTTTTTAGGAGTAAAATTATTCTTACTTTTATTGTTATTTAATAAGAAACAATTTGTCTTATTTGATACGATACCTCATCAGATTGTTTGTTGAGTGTAGAACGATAGATTTTTTACTCATCCAACTACTTACTGATTTACGCCTGTTACCCCTCGTGGTGGATTATAAGCCGCCCACCACCATTCCCCATCGAACTCTGTCCTGGACAATCCTTTCCAGTTATTTCCAGTTGCTGCCCATCCTTTTGATTTCTGCTTCCAAGTTTCGACTCTGTGTGCTCTTTCGTCCAAATAGTCTAGCTACATCCAAGCTGTCTATTGTATCCCACGCTTCTTCTGAGATTTGGAGGTCTTCATAATTCGTTCAACTACCAGAAGAGAGAGAGGAAGTGAGGGAGTAAGCAGCCTTTTATGACCCCGGTCCTTACTGGACGCATCCAACTAACATAAAGTTAATCACAACCAAAGGACTTGAAAACTATTTTAAATACTTTTGAAACAGTAATATGGTATAGAAAACCAAAGTTCTGAAACTATACTAGGCAATACTCAAGGTTATACGATTGCATTATTGTGAATGTGGAATTCGGTACTTGCATAGAATTGCACTACATAAACAGTTCTATTTAGCTTTGCTTGCAGTCAAATAAACGAGTTAGTCTTAAATTAACTTTTATTGTATGAACAGTTTGAAGCTAGTTTTTGATGTTTTTTTAGAGAAATATGCAGTAAGATTTATTTCATCTGATGTTTTCAATTAATAATTTGATTTTAACTTCTCTATTTAAGTGGTGCATGTGATTTCATTGTCGTTTATTTGTCTGTTGTAGTTATTCATTTAAATTATACTTTTCAATATTGAACTGCATCAATAAAACATATTTAATGTTTTTGTTTCGGAAATTTACATATATAATCATGTCTTTAGTTAACTAATGGCCACTTAACTAAAATGTATTTATGATTGTAGAAAACATAGAAGCTTAGAATTGAAGCTTGTTGTTTTAAAGTTATTTTCATAGCGCTGAATAGAAAATAAATATGTCTGACTGATAAATAAATAAGCATATCTAAAAATCAGTCTGTTACGTCATGATTTTGCATTTTATATGATAAAAGCTATAAAATACACATTAGGTTCATATTACATTGAAAACAGGTATTTAGTGAATTTGTGAAACAGTACAAATTTCTCATTCATATAATCTAACACCTATAACACAGATACCTCGCATTTATAAAGAACAAATTTTAAATTCTATCCATTTACCTTCTATGATTCTAAAAATAAAATAGATAAGTATGTATGCACAGAGATGCAGCGATGTATTATTCCCAAATTTAGTTTTGAATGCTGACTGATACGTTGTATCACTCATCGATTTCATTGTTTCAAAGAGGGATTAAACACGAATATTATGTATATCAGTCCTGTCACGTTGTTCAATATAAAAGTGATGAAAATGTGTCTGTTGTATACGTGTAGAAGTATTTTTCTGTAATACGTTCGCTTCGTAATATGTTGCAATTATATTTTTTCTTGTCGCACATCGGAGTATTTCATCAACGAATAGATTTTTTATCCGAGTTTAGAGGCTACAAGTGTTTCCACGTTCTAACCACTCCATCTGTAGAATTATACCAAAACAATATTAATATATAGAAGTTATATTCATTGATAATTATTTTTAAAAATGCTGGTAGATATTCTTATTAACGGAATAATCTTTGAGTTTTGAAAATCAATTGTCACTTCTTGACTTGCACATATATATATATATATATATATATATATATATATATATATGTTGAGATATGTACCAATTCTTCTATAATTTTATTTAAACGCCTACAGTTTCATACATCATTTTTGGTCACTGTTCTCATTATTTAGCTCTAATCAAAATCATTCAAAGCTTTATGTAGTGCAAATGTACTCTAAGAATAATGTCATGAATACAGTTTATATGATTAGTATACAGTTTGCTTGATAATTATTTTAGCAAGTTAACTTGTAGAATATGTTCGGCTACTGGAATTCAATCAACTAAGAGGTCTTGTGAGACATTTTTTTACAGCAGCTGAAAGTTTGTAAGGGGGCAGTTTTAATCGTGCGTAGATGGGTACTATATTGAACAATATTTATGTAGGTTCATCTTTTATTCATTGGAATAAGAACTTTCATCTAAATTTGAACGAATAGTTCCACAATATTTGAGCGCCGAGTTAATGTGAGCCATTAAAGAGGAAGAATGTATTTGTAAAATCTCGGCGAAAGAATTTGAAATAAATCCAACGTTTTGCCTGGCAATCTGGTCCAAGCTTTTTCAAGGAAAATATAATCAAACAACAAGATTATCAAATTCTTTCGCTGAAATTTAACAAATACATTCTTTCCTTTTAATGTTTTATTCATTTGTTCCGGAAATTCTTATTCAGCTTAAGTAACGTAGGCATATTGACATTGGCAAATAATTTGTTCATTGCACTCCAAATTTCAATAGTTGTTTAGCTATAACCAGTTCATAATTTCCCCCTTAAATCTAACAGTCTTTAAAAGCATCACATAGTAGAGAATAATGACTGTTTAATCTATGCCGCTGACATTCATATAACTGATAGAAACAATCTAAAAATTATAAGCAGAGGTGTATGTTCATGATTTGAGGCAATATCGAGGCAATCCTCACAAGATGTACTTATGTCACAAAGAGACTGATCAGTGACAGTCCTAAACATAAATGGGAAGATTCAAACAACCAATACATGATGAATTAAACCTACAAATTTTATAAAAACCATTACGACCATATTTGGATCAGAAAGTAACTCTCTTTATGAAAAGATACAAATGACTATCAAAATGTTTAATCAATCGTTCCTAAGAGAAGTTTAACAAATTTAAGATTTCATCGAAATTCCTAACACTTACCATACTAAGTTATAATATCGAGTCTTGATTGAAAGCTAAATAGCTTTCAAAAAAAGTAAATTAATTTATGCTGTTACTATAACATCTCAGGTGTTATTATTTGAAAAGAAATCTGGACACAATCGAATCACGTGATTTGAATCACTTCTCATTGCTTCATTGTTAACTTTATAATAATCCAGTTCATTTAGAAAAGTTATGGTTTCTCTACATAATGTTCTTTAATTAATAAAGTGATTTCCTTGTTATTACTATTGATGAAGTGATAAAAACTTGTAAATTTGTAAAATTCAATGTGTTTACTGAATTCAATCGTTTAGATTATTTCGATTATTTTTAATGATTTTTAAAAAATTCTAAATCGTATTGAGTTTTAGATTTCCTTGTAATAAATATCACCATTTCTGTCTTAATATTTCTTGTGATAAATAACACGTAAACGTTCTCACCTATAACAAACTATTACAGTTTAACGAGTAAATTATTCTTAACTCAACATATGTGACAAAGTCTTTATATTTTAAAGCATAAGGTGCATAAAAAAATGAATAATCAAGATTGATATCACTTTAATGTACAAGATTATTGACGGGATCAACATCGTAATAGTAATAGCTTAGAAATGTCTCTAGTAAGAAAGGAGTGATATGTAATGTTAGATATGAGAAGGTGTCATAATCATAATGTAATATGCATTTCGAGATTTTGGGATGTCATATCTTTGCCATAAAAAGTAGATTAAATAACTTAGTTAAACAAGATTTTTTCTAATTTACTTTTTATTTGGCATTAACTTGTATCTATCTCCAGCTTTTGAAACTGTACTGTATCGAAGATTGTATAATCCATTTAATCTCGTAATGGGAACCGCATACAATCATATAATATTATTATTAATGATGAAATCCAACCTATCTGTTACATCATGTTCGAAAATGTGATAATTTGATCGATTCTTGATAGTTATAGGAAAAAAACTGTTTGATCATTGATAAACAGGAAGAAAAGATACAATTAGTATACACACTTTTAAACTGATTTCCACAAACCACCTAAATGAACTATTGCATGCTTACTGGTGATCAACTTTGGGATAAAATTTCAGCCAACTATAAGGATTAGTCAATTAAAACGC